TCTGCTGAAAGGGTAAGTTAATTATTTGTCCATTTGATGGCAATGGCTGGGTTGGCAGCTCTCTCTTCTGTAGCAAGTTATTTATTTGTTCACTTGATATTAATGATTGAACGTGTGCATTTTCCTGCTGTAATGTTAGGTTATTTACCCTTTTGCCTGTTCTCTCTTGTGAATTGTTGTCACTTTGCAGTTTTCTAAATGCCCTGAGTGTGTTCCTTATTTCTTCACTTGATGTAGATGGTTGTAGTGTTACTTGTTCTTTCTTACTACTTGAAATGGCTGTTTCAATTGACATTTTCCTTGCCATTTTCCTAAATGTCCTGAGGGAGTCAGTTATTTTTTCACCTGGTGCAGTTTGTAGTGGTGGTATTTTTCTTGGATAGAATGGTGGAATGCTTACCTTTTGCTTTAATTTCTGTTCTGACATGTTTGCATGTCTAACTGTTCCACTTGGCATAATTTTCTCTCTTTGTACTTTAGAAATTTGTCCATCTAATACAGTAACATTTTCAGGTGCTTTACATTCAATTAACTTTCTAAATGTCCTCAGTGATACTTTGCTCACCTGCTGATCAGATACAGATACACTTTTTAAACAAGGGCTTTCATTTACTTTCATTTTTATTCGGTGAACTTGCAGCTGGTGTTGTAATGCCAAGTTTAAGAGGTTCTTCAAGGGGTGAGAAATGTTTTTTCAACTTCCTTTCCACTTGAATTTGTGATATTACAGGAAGACTGGCATCTTTAGCATACATTTTTTCACTTCCTACACAATTCTGTATATTCTGAAATAACATATGAAGAATATCCATGTGCAGTTAAATTACTTCCTTCCAAATTTATTTTCCAAAGGAGTACTTAACAATGGTTCACATTTAATATCAATGGAATACATTGAATGTTTCTCAAAAAAAACTTTCATCCTCGGGCATCTCTGATATTTCTTCCTTAATATCAAAAACATCACATAGACTTTCCTCAGTCTTTATGCTTAAATTTCTTTAAATGTCATATTACAATAATCAAGCAAGCTTTTATCAGTGTGATTTAATTCCATATCCAATTTTTCTCCTTCAGTATTATATACAGTATTTGTTTGAGAAATACCCTGCTGGTGGTCATTATTACACTTCTGAGTTGCATCAAACAAGTTACATGCTGCTTTCTCATTGGATGTATTATATATTTTGCTTTTCTTTTTGCATCTGACTTCATCAGAGTCGCAGTTTCTCTTATTTCCATTTTTTAGTTTACAATCTAAACCCTGCGTGTTAGCCTCTGCTTTCTTTTGGTTTGTGCAGAATTTACTTTCACCATTTTTGGTTAAAAAATTCACTTTGTTTTTTGCTTTTTGTGGTTCACTTTTAATCTCTATGTTACCCATTTCCAGTTTATCATCACTACTGTTAATTTTGTCTAAGACAGAACTAACACCCAACACTGGCTTATTTTGTCTTGCAAGTGTGAGATCGTTGCACACTGAGTTTTTATTTGTTGATAACAGAAACATCTCAGAGTTACTTTCATATTCCATCAAATTATTCTTATTTTTACCATCTAATGTAGTATTACTGCTTGCTCCATGAACTAGAATGTTTTTTACTTTATTCAGATCTTGATACTTATTACTGGACTTACAAGAATGGACCTGTTTCTTAGAGTCATTTTTTTCTCTAGTATTAAATTTTGCTGCACCAAGCTGTGTAACTGAAGACAACTGTATCCAATCTTCATATCCAGTGGTTTCTCCTGCCTCGTTAATAACTTCAAATCCATCTGCAATACAAAAAATTGCTTAATTTTGAAATTTCATTTCATATTCAGGAAAAGGTAAGAAATGGTCATTGAATACTTTTTGCACCTGACAGCCAAATGTACATGGTGTAAGAGAGAACTTGATGAAGCAGATGGCAACACATCTCAATGAAGATGAATAAACCATCTCAATGAAGATGAATAAACCATCAGTTTAAACCAAGAGACTTATAGATTATTATTATTATTATAATCAAAAAGAAGCGCTAAGCCACAAGGACTATACAGCGCTGCAGGGTAGGAAGGAAGCGAGGGCATCAGGTGGCAAAAGGGAGATGGATGAGTAATAGGTTACGGATAACAGCGGGGTAGTGGATGGTGAAAGGGTAAAGGGCAGCAAGAGACTGAACTAGAAAGGGCTGAGGGGAGAGCGAAAAGTATCATCAGAGTGTGTGGAGTAAATCAGTCGTTGTCAAGAAGTCAATAGAGAGTTCAGATTAAAGGAGGTCCATCAGCAAGAAGGGAAGGTAAAGAGAGAGTAGTAGAACGAAGACGACGTTGGAGGTAAATTCTGCGTGCTCATTGATAGAGAGGGCAGTCTAACAGAATGTGGCTAATCGATACTGGAACTTGACACTGCTCACAGAGAGGAACAGGGTGCCTCTCCATGAGATACCCATGAGTAAGACGAGTGTGGCCAATGCGAAGGCGGGAGAGAGTGGTCTCCCAACCTTGGCACTGATGACAAGAAGACGGCCAATAACCTATGATCGGTTTAATAGAATGAAGTTTGTTACCGAGCAGAGTTGACCAACGTTGTTGCCAATGGGTGCGAAGGTGGGTAGCTATTGCAGCAAAATAGTCCAGAAATGAAACACCTCGATAGGAAATTGGTAGGTCATGTACTGCTGACCGCGCAGCAGTGTCTGCCTGTTCATTGCCCTGTACATCGACATGACCAGGGACCCAACAAAAAACAATATCTTTATGTTTTGGTAAGATACGGCGTAGCCAAAGTTGGATAGGGAGAACTAGGGGATGAGATGTATCAAATTTTCGTATAGCCTGTAGAGCACTAAGGGAGTCTGAGACAACTACAAATGAGACACAGGCATAGATGCGATACGAATAAGTGCTGCAAAATGGCATACAGTTCAGCAGTAAAAATGCTAGCGGGAAGATAGTAAATGCCCCCGCACGACGCTGCCCCGAAACACTGCTGCGAATCCGACGCCGTCTGAAGACTTAGAGCCATTGTGTACACAGGGGTGGCATGAGAATGGAGTGGAAGTGATCAAGAAAAAGAGGGGCGGGAAGCCACCGTAGGCAGTTGAGCTTTCGAGCAAGGAGTGAGAAAGAACAACCTGAACAGTTTGGAACTTCCCAGGGGCTAGGGAAAAGTGAGAGGGCTACAGGAACAAATAAAGGTAGTAACTGAAGGAAGACAAGAGTGAATGTAGGCGAAGAAAAAGGGGGAACGGAGCAAACAGGGGCGGCGAACGAATAAAGAATGTCTACTAATATGGGTGACCATTCTATAAATGGAAAGGGAAATTGTGTAGATCGTGAGAGCATACACAGTAGCGAAGGCAATGGGCATCACGGCGATCAGAAAAGGATGGAACATTCGCTTCTGTATAGAGGCTCCAACAGGGGAAGAGCGAAAAAGCACCAAGGCACAAACGTAATCCTTGGTGATGGATAGAGTTAAGGCTAGAGAGAGTAGCGGGAAGGCCGCGGAATAAATCTGGTCACCATAATCGAGTTTCGATAAAACGGGGGCTGAATGTAGGCGAAGCAGAGTTCGACGATCACTCCCCAGGAAAGATGAGCAAGGGTTTTAAGAAGGTTTACCCGGGCTGTGACAAGTTGCCTTCAGAGAGGTAATGTAAGTTTCCGGGATAACCTACGGTCAAAGAGAAGGCATAGAAACCTGACTGTATCAAAATTCGGGGATACGGGAGCCATAGAGATACAAAGGATGATCGGAGATAACAGAGCGTCTAGTGAAAGTAATTTGGTGAGTTTTTGGTACTTGAAAATTTAAACCCATGCGGTGGCCCAAGTGGAAACACGGTCGACCGAAATGCTGGAGAGAAAACTGCAATAAGATGACAGTCAGCGCCTGCACAAGCAATAGCAAAGTCATCAACATAGAGCGATGACCAAATATTGGGTGGAAGAACAGAGGCCAAATCATTATAGCAAGAGAAAAAGTGTTGTGCTTAGAACACATCCCTGAGGGACACCTTCAGCTTGGACGAAGTCCGGGGAAAGAACATTATTGACTCGAACAGGGAAATGTCTGTCAGTTAAAAAGTTCTTAAGGAAGGATGGTAGATTGCCTCGGAGGCCTAAGGAATGGCCGGGGCCAAACTATTATACCTCCAAGTTTGTCAAAAGCCTTCTCAAGGTCAAAAAATATGGCAATAACTGAGTGATTATTCCAAAGCTTTTACGAACATACGAAACCAAGCGTAGTAAGGGGTCTATGGTAGAACGACTTTACGAAAGCCATATTGACTAGCGGAGAGACTGTTGTTGTCCTAAATACCACATAAACTCGATTTACGAGACGTTCCATCATTTTGGGCAAACTGCACTAAGAAAGAGAGATGGGGCGATAGGGGGAGGCATCATGTCCTGTATACCCGGTTCGCAGAAAGGGAGAACAATGGCAGTTTTTCCACAGCTGGGGAAGAACTCCTTGTGCCCAAATAAGATTGAAGAGGTTAAGAGGACTACAAGGGCTAAACCGATGAAAATGTTTGTAACATACGAATATGAATGTCGTCGGGCCCAGCTGCCGATGATCGGCAAGCTGAGAGCTTTTGCCTCCAGTTCTTGAAGTGTAAAAGGCACATTATACTGTTCTTCTCTAAGAGAAAAAAAGTCCAAGGGTACAACCTCTTTTGGCAGACTTTGAGGAAAAAAAACGGGGGGCATAGTTTGGAGCCCCCCGGGAAATACAGACCAGATGTGTGCCAAGTTCAATGGCAACGTCGAAGGGTTTGCTACATCAACACCACGACCCGTAGAACCGGAGCCGGTCAGGAGAGTAATTTACCACCCCAATTTCCTCACTTTTTTCCAGACTGCACTCATAGAAGAAGCAGAGGTGATGGTGGAAACATAGTCTCGCCAAACAAGTGCGTTTAGCTTCAGGGATGACACGGTGAGCGATCGCACGCTTCTGTTTAAAATCAAGAAGTCTCTCAGCATTTTCCCATTGTACCGGTAACCTGCCCCAAGCAGCACTTTTCAAACGTACTGCACGCACAACGGGAACCACCAAGGCCCGCACTTTCTGAAATTTGCCCTGCCTGAGGTTGGGTATAGAATGAGAAGCTGCGGTATAAACTGACGTCGAGAGATGTGTAGGAGCTCATCAATGGAAGATGAAGAAGGAACCTCACTAAAAGCAGTGAGGTGTGAGTAAAGATCCCAATTTGCCCGATCAAATTGCCAGCGAGGGCTACGGAAAGGTGGTGAATAGGAAGGAGAAGTAAGAATGATCGGAAAATGATCGCTGTCATGTAAGTCCGGTAGAACAGACTAGGTGAAGTCTAGTGCAGTGGAGGAAGAGCAGACTGATAGATCGATGCAAGAGAGAGTATGAGTACGAAGATCAAAATGGGTGGGAGTACCCGTATTTAACCCTTTGAGGGTCCGTCCCGTAGATCTACGGCTTTACATTCAGGGTCCAAACCGTAGATCTACGTCATGAGCTCAGCTCACTCTGATAAACTGTGAGTGGTACATTTGGGCCTAGATATGAGAGAATACATCTATGTGATATGTGTGCACCACATAAAACAGATCCTGCAGCACGCTGTGTATAATGAGAGAAAAAAACTGAAATCATGATTTTTCGATTAAAACAGCGACTTTGCAGTGTTTTGGTCGTATGTTTTTTATAGTTCATTGTGATTCTTGGCCCTCATTTGATAGAATGGAAGACAAAATTTACAGAAATAAGATTGATTTTGTTTGGTTTTCACACGGGAAATGGCTTGAAACTAAGCTCAAAGTAGCAAAAATGTTAAATTTTTGCCGATATTCAAAGAGTAAACAAACACATCACAAGTCTAATACACCCAGCTGTGGGTCTAATATGCATTCCCAAATATGGTGATGATATTTATACAATTATTACAGTATTGCATAACAGTAAATCTTCTATTTTTTGGTGTGAATAAAAATTCAATATGTAAATAAAAAATGAAAAGGGAAATTTTAAATTTGTAAAGCCTCAAAACGTAACTAATGAACAGAGGAAATGTTAGTTTAGTTCCAGAATACCTACATGTTTTTTTCTGGACCCTATTTTTAAATTGGGAAAATTTTGAACTTTGTGTTTAAAATTGGCCAAATTAACAATTTCCGATCACTTTAATTTGTAGTTGAAAACAGTTGACTTGGCGATTTCTTGTGTTCAATCGATAGAATAGAAGTAATACTATGAAATAGCTAAGAATTTGTGACTGGAATAATGTAATTGGCCTAAAATGGGAGTCAAAGTCGGCAAAATCGCCGATTCGTAAATATCGCTGACACACAAAATTCGCGAGAGCATAATTTCGTCAATTTTCCATCAAATTTCGTACTTTTTTTTTTATTTACCTTCACAAAAAAGATTCTCTACCATTTCACAAGAAAAAATAACAAATTTTTTTTTGAAAATTCTTGGACACTGGGCAGCACTTCAGATTTGGGCCTTGGACCCTGAAGGGGTTAAAACATGGAGGGGTGAGAGGCGAGAAAAGCCTCCAACTGGATGCCACGGAGTCACAATGAGAACCCCCCCCCCCCCCCGAGGAAATGGTGGGCATTAAAATCAAACCCAAATAACAGAAGTGGTGGTGGTAAGGATGAAACAAGAAGGCAAAGTCTGGGATAGAAAATGCTCGAGAAGGAGAGAGATATAAAGAACATATTGTAAACCACTTATTCAAGTGGATAACTGGCTGCAGTGTAATGCAGCGAGGTATGGACAAATAGTTGACAGTACGGAAATATCATTGCGTAAAAGAAGGGCACTTCATTAAAGGTCCCCCTCTGAGAAAGGGGTTCGAAGAATACAATAAATTATAGCCTGAGATACGTTGAAAGACAGCAAGTGTAATTTTGGTTCTTGTAAGCAAGCACCAACAGGGGAAAACCTGGAAAGCAACATCTGAAGCTCACCCCGAATTTCCCCTGAGGCCGCGGAAAATTCCACGTAAATAGGCCATGATTGGCGATGAAGAAAATACCAGGAATCTGTAGGTAAAGGCACCTATGGACAGAGGGTTAGAAAATCAACGTTGGTGGCATTGGAAGACGTTCAAGTAGCGAAGGAACGGAGCGTTGCGAAGATTGGGTTGTGAAGATGGAGGAGAGGGAAGAGAAGGAACAGGAAGTGAATCAGTGTCCATTAAGGTTTTAGTCCTTGCAATATATTCTGAAATGGCTTCAAGTGTTTCTGAAATTTAAAGGTGTATGGGAGACCATATTGGGATAGAAGGAGGAGGGTGAGTAAAGATTGGGACAGTAATGGACTGTACCAAAGTAGAGGGGAGGGAAGAATGTAAGAAACGGAGATGAAGTGTGGGGGGGGACAGAAGAGGCAGAAACCTGGGAGGTGGCAGAAGAGGGAGAAACTTGGGAGGAGATGGGGGTGGAAGGGATAGTACGAGGAGGAGGGTGAATCTCCACACTTGTAATAGAGCCAGAGAGAGGGGAAGAACTAGGTACAGAGACTGGAATGGTAAAGTGGTGGGGGTGGAAGAAGGGAAGGAAGGGCAAAGAAGATTTGAGCAATGTGGATTTTTTTTGGGCTTCTGAGAAGTAAGGGCGATTGGTATTAGGTGTCGTACGAGGTCTTGTCGATACTGGGGCTTGTGAGAAGGGCGTGAAGATGTGAGAACAGACTGAGTTGTAGTCGGGGGCGTCAGAGCCAAGGACAGCAAAAGGATTAGATGCCGTAGTGGCTAGGGAGGGTAACAACAAGAGGCTGCAGAAGATGGGACCCGAGAAGTGGGGGATGTTTGGAAACACGAGAATAAGAAACACGGGACGGGGTAGTCTCCCTTGGAGGCGGAGATGAGTAACTGCCATAGCATAAGGGAGACCTTCTGCCTCTTTGAGGCAACGGATTTCACGTTCATTTTAAATAACCTGGCAACGGCGGGAGTACGAAGGGTGAGCTTCATTACAATTAAGGCAAGAGGAGGTTGACTGCAAGATGTATTAGAATGGTCGTCGGCACCACAGACTGGGCATTCGGCCATAGATCTGCAATATTTCGCTGGGTGACCAAAACGCCAGCAATTTCTACATTGTTGCGGTGTAGGTAACACCTTTTTGAACTTGTAACCGATGTCCCCGACATATACAGAGGACGGGAGTTTTTCGGCTGTCAAAAGTTAAACGAGCCACATTGCAAGGGTAACGTCTCGCCCCCGGGCAGGAAGGACATAAGTGTCTACTTTGAGGATTGGAGATCCTGGAGTTCCAGCTGTTCAAAAATGTCATTGCCACATGACTGGAAATTCTGTTGGACTATGGTATGGGGCAGAATGACAGTACCACTACAAGAATTGAGAGAAAGATGTTTTTCAATAGTGATAGGAGTAGTATCGATATCGAAAGGAGAGAAAGATCATGAGCTTGGGGAGCATTCCTGGACAGTGAAAGATGCTCATACCGCTCTTGAGAGCATGAAAAAGAAATATCTCTACCAACATGACGCAGGAGCGCTTTGCCAATACTATGGTCAGAAAGGTAGGCGAAGAAGAAGTCGGTCCCTTAAAGTAAAGAATTTAGTCTATTGTGTGGGCCGAAACTGAGCGTGGAGAGGGGGTCTTTACGTGTCGGTCTTTTTCCGAGTAGAATGGGAAGGTAACGAAGGAGCATCATCAGGAGAATGACGTTGGCGTTTCGGAGTAGGACCGAGATGGTCCGGCGTGAAATGGGCGGGCAATTCGAAAATTGCCGTACCGTAGAGGGGGAAGCCGAAGCACAGTCAAAGGGGAGCGGAGTTCAGCCCAAAACGAAGGATTCAAGTTGAAGCCCCGGTACCTGAAGCGGGTGAGGGAAACCGCACCAGAAAGGTACAGGGGCATCAGATGTCCGAAGAGTGATCTAAACACAAGGCAGGGTTAGAATGGGTGGCGGTATCAAGGGAAGGGGCCCCGGGAAGTGGGTATCATGACTAGGCTGCCATGGTTAGGTTACCCTTTGCTTTTTTGTTTTTAAGAAAAAAAAAAGAAAGAAGAAAAGAAAATAAAAAAAAAAAAAGAATAAAAAAAGGGGGACGGGGAGGAATAGTTCCCAGGGAAAGAAAGGCCGGAAATCTCCCTCCGCGCCCAAGAGGGCCTCAACACTGCTAGTAGCGCAGATGCAGCATGGAACCCGTGCCATACCCTAAACCCCTTTATGCCAGTAAACCAGCAATCAGGATAGCAACCTCACATCTGCCGAGCTAACCTCGGTGGACAAAAGAGAGGGCGGCCGGATATCCGCCACAAAGCATACCTCCTTCGGCCCCCCACCCCCGAATCCAAAAGGTGGCTTCCAAGATACACCCTCGCCCGAAAGACACCCAAAGCTACTCCGGGATACTGGAGAGGGATCGGGACATCCCCAGGCAATCCAGATTCCACGGCAAACTACGCCACTGCCAAGAACCTCAACGGAATGGGATGGACCGCGGTGTCCTTTCCCCTACCTAGGAACTAACGCGCTTGTGGGAGAAATCCCAAAGGCCAAAAAGAGGAAGGGCAAAAGGGAGGGGTGGGGAGGAGGAATGGAAAATGGGGAGGATGGGATAGGGGAGGGGAGAATGGGGGGTAATTAGGTTCGGTCTGAGGAAGAAGATCGACAGGGCTAATTCCTCAGACCAAGAGCCTCTTCACCACGCCAAGGAGCCCCCCTTGAAGAGGAGACTTATAGAACAAAACAACCCGTGGGTAAATCAGCTTAACACTGAAACACCTTCATTTACAGAATGTAAATTACAGTAATATTACTATAATTAGAGGAAGCTTACATATGCTATATGCACAAAATTTTAGCCACAATTAATAGGGTAATTAACACAAAAGTATGTGTAAAATAACCCCATTAACTAGAAATTAATAAATAAATGATTATGGCATGCATCTGAAGCCCACTTTAGTAAAGTAATAAAAAAAATAACTAGTGAACATTACCATTTTCTTTTAAGTTGTGTTTGTCATTATTGGTGCTACACTTTTTCTCTGGCACCTGCAGAGGTGCCATAGCAGCTGTAACACATTCAATTGTTTTCTTGAGAATTTTTCTTTCTTCTTCAACTTTCTTCTGTGGATAATTTAAGATTGACAATGCATATTATTAATGCACACTAAAAAACAGCAATGTATATATTACTGTATGTAGAACAAAATTTATTTGCTAAATAGATACCAAAATAATTTTTTTATTTTTTTTATTGTATACACAAGTTAGAGTTGATGCTTTATAAAAATAAATATAGGTGTATAGAATTTGCACAAGTTGTTTGCTGTAAGAATGCTAATTTTTTTGCATATTCATAAAAAGAAACTCATTTTAAAAGTTATTTACTCCATCCTGCCCTTCAACCTCAACCATGATCTAGCACTACTCACTCATCCTGTCTTTCAACCTCAACCATGATCTAGATTTACACTCATTCGCCCTGCCCTTCAACCTCAACTATGATCTAGGTCTACACTCACTGTCTTTCAACCTCATTGAAAGCAAGAGCATTTTCTTACATAGCACCTAGATTGTTTAAAGTTGCCAGTGTCTGTTAAGTCAGAAATATATATTTTTTTTTTCAACAAGTCGGCCATCTCCCACCGAGGCAGGGTGACCCAAAAAAGAAAGAAAATCCCCAAAAAGAAAATACTTTCATCATCATTCAACACTTTCACCACACTCACACATTATCACTGTTTTTGCAGAGGTGCTCAAAATACAACATTTTAGAAGCATATACATATAAAGATACACAACATATCCCTCCAAACTGCCAATATCCCAAACCCCTCCATTTCCAGGACTCAAGTCCGACTATATGAAAATAACCGGTTTCCCTGAATCCCTTCACTTAATTTTGTCTAAGACAGAACTAACACCCAACACTGGCTTATTTTGTCTTGCAAGTGTGAGATCATTGCACACTGAGTTTTTATTTGTTGATAACAGAAACATCTCAGAGTTACTTTCATATTCCATCAAATTATTCTTATTTTTACCATCTAATGTTGTATTACTGCTTGCTCCATGAACTAGAATGTTTTTTACTTTATTCAGATCTTGATACTTATTACTGGACTTACAAGAATGTACCTGTTTCTTAGAGTCATTTTTTTCTCTAGTATTAAATTTTGCTGCACCAAGCTGTGTAACTGAAGACAACTGTATCCAATCTTCATATCCAGTGGTTTCTCCTGCCTCGTTAATAACTTCAAATCCATCTGCAATACAAAAAATTGCTTAATTTTGAAATTTCATTTCATATTCAGGAAAAGGTAAGACATGGTCATTGAATACTTTTTGCACCTGACAGCCAAATGTACATGGTGTAAGAGAGAACTTGATGAAGCAGATGGCAACACATCTCAATGAAGATGAATAAACCATCTCAATGAAGATGAATAAACCATCAGTTTAACCCTTTGAGGGTCGACAGGCCCTCTCCGAAACTCGTTCTCAGGGTCGGCCAAATTTAAAAAAAAAAAAAATTATTTTCTCTTATGAAAAGATAGAGAATCTTTTCCCAATCATAAAGACACCAAAAGTTTGAAATTTGATAGAAAACTTACGGAATTATGCTCTCGCAAGGTTAGCGGTCTCAGCGATGTTTACGCATCGGCGATTTTGCCCACTTTGAGCCCCATTTTCGGCCAATTTCACTGTACTAGTCGACAAAAAACATGAATATTTCGCTAGAACTCCATTTTTTCTATCGAATGGGTGCAAGAAACCACCCATTTATGAAATTCAACTATCCAGTACAGTGGTCAGAATTTAGCAATTTTGCCAATTTCACACAAATTTCAAAAGATGCCAATTTCCGAATAGGGTCCAGAATAAACAAGAAAGACATTCCTGCACTAAAATGACATTTCCTCTAGTCATTAGTCACGTCCTCAAGGCCCCTCTTATATTCTTTTGCTTTCCACTTTGAATTTTTATTCTCACAAAAAATATAAGATTTACTGTTATGCAGACTACTGCATTAGTGTAAAAAATGGTATAAATATTATTGGTGCACTTGTGAAAGAATATTAGACTCACCAGTTGATGTGTATTGCACGCTTGGCACGATTTGTTTACTTTTGAAGTTTGGTAGAAATCGAACATTTCTGCTACTTTGAGCTCAATTTCAAGGCACCTTTCATTGTAAAACCAGTCAAAATCATCTCAATTTCTGTAATATGTCTTCCATTCTATAAAATAAGACCAAGAAAACTAGAATACAACAATAAATACCATACGAAAATACACTGCAAAGTCGCTGATTTATTCCAAAAAAATGGTCATTTTTTTTTTTTTCATTATGCACTGTGTGCTGCAGGATTTTTTTTAGACTGTGCACACTGACCACATAGACCCATTCTTTCATATGAAGGCCTACCAGCTTTCTCCCACTAGATTTGAGGCCGCTAGAATTTATGCGTACTAGTATGTCAAAAAACCCTACGCGAAAGACGTACTAGTACGACCAAAACTCTCAAAGGGTTAAACCAAGAGACTTATAGAACAAAACAACCTGTGGGTAAATCAGCTTAACACTGAAACACCTTCATTTACAGAATGTAAATTACAGTAATATTACTATAATTAGAGGAAGCTTACATATGCTATATGCACAAAAGTTTAGCCATAATTAATAGGGTAATTAACACAAAAGTCTGTGTAAAATAACCCCATTAACTAGAAATTAATAAAATGAATATTATGGCATGCATCTGAAGCCCACTTTAGTAAAGTAATAAAAAAAATAACTAGTGAACATTACCATTTTCTTTTAAGTTGTGTTTGTCATTATTGGTGCTACACTTTTTCTCTGGCACCTGCAGAGGTGCCATAGCAGCTGTAACACATTCAATTGTTTTCTTGAGAATTTTTCTTTCTTCTTCAACTTTCTTCTGTGGATAATTTAAGATTGACAATGCATATTATTAATGCACACTAAAAAACAACAATGTATATATTACTGTATGTAGAACAAAATTTATTTGCTAAATAGATACCAAAATAATTTTTTTTATTTTTTTATTGTATACACAAGTTAGAGTTGATGCTTTATAAAAATAAATATAGGTGTCTAGAATTTGCACAAGTTGTTTGCTGTAAGAATGCTAATTTTTTTGCATATTCATAAAAAGAAACTCATTTTAAAAGTTATTTACTCCATCCTGCCCTTCAATCTCAACCATGATCTAGCACTACTCACTCATCCTGTCTTTCAACCTCAACCATGATCTAGATTTACACTCACTCGCCCTGCCCTTCAACCTCAACTATGATCTAGGTCTACACTCACTGTCTTTCAACCTCATTGAAAGCAAGAGCATTTTCTTACATAGCACCTAGATTGTTTAAGGTTGCCAGTGTCTGTTAAGTCAGAAATATATTTTTTTTTTTCAACAAGTCGGCCGTCTCCCACCGAGGCAGGGTGACCCAAAAAAGAAAGAAAATCCCCAAAAAGAAAATACTTTCATCATCATTCAACACTTTCACCACACTCACACATTATCACTGTTTTTGCAGAGGTGCTCAGAATACAACAGTTTAGAAGCATATACATATGAAGATACACAACATATCCCTCCAAACTGCCAATATCCCAAACCCCTCCATTTCCAGGACTCAAGTCCGACTATATGAAAATAACCGGTTTCCCTGAATCCCTTCACTAATATATTTATATATTTATATATTTATGCTTTTCAATCTCAGTTGAAAGCACATCTCTTGTCCAGAGCTACCATTTTTTAATTTCTAGAGCTACCATTTTTGAATTTCATGAAAGAACAGAAGCTCAAGAATAACAATCTCTAAATTATTAATTTTGTTTTTTTCGATGAACTGGCCATCTCCCACTGAGGCAAGGTGACCTAAAAAAACAAAAGTTTTTCTTTTTACATTTGATAATTTGTACAGGAGAAGGGGTTACAAGCCCATTGCTCCCAATCAGTAATAACAATGATTATATTATTATTTTTTAGCACACCGAGGTAGGGTGGGAAGTGGTGAGCTTATTTTGGGGCAATGATAATACACCATGAGCTGACCTCTACAACTGTAAGTGCTAACAAGTTATCACCAAGGCAGGGTAATCCAGAGGAGGAAACATTCTTCAACAACATTCATTCTTCAGCTAACAGAAATGTATATAAATAACTCACCTTTGTTTTAAATGCATGACACAATTTAGCACTCCTGATGACTTCATATGGCTCTCTAAATCCAAGGCAAAATGGGTAAAAAGTAAAGTTGTCTATAGTCAGGCCAGTCACATTTTCCTCTGTCACTGAAAAACAAGATTTTAAACAAGTACTCAGGGTAAAATTATTACATTAAAGTTATCAATATAAACTTGTGCTTTCTGGAGAGAAGAGTGTCACACTTTAATATGTTATTGTAGCATGAAGGATGCCTGTGACCAGTTTCAGGAATTTTACTCCTACATTCTAGCCTGTAGCCAAACTTCCTTGGAGACAGCCTGATCAATGAGGCTACGTAATACCTGTTCATGTAAGCTGACAATCAGGTTCATGAGCAGATCTCTCTGAGACAGAGAGAGAGGCAGACAGAAAGAGACAGACATGCTTGTGTATGGAACAGTGGGAGCAAATAGAAAACATATGCCAAGGATCACTGGAAGCAGAGCACCATCAGCAATGCTGAGTGACACTGACACCATGCTTCAATGAGTTTCATATAGTCCAGTACTTCTAAAAACACTGCTGGGACCTATAAATAATTTGTATATATTTCTAGACAAATCTATTCGATTTGTCTAGAAATACATACAAATTATTTATAGGTCCCAGCAAATGACAAATGAATAGATTTGTCAGTTAAAAACAGAGTAGGGGAGTTAGAAGACTGGGAGTTGGAGGTATTGAGAAGATGGTGGGAATATTTTGAGGAACTTTTAAATGTTCATGAAGAGAGGGAGGCAATAATTTCATGCACCAGCCAGGGAGGTATAACATCTTTTAGGAGTGAAAAAGAGCCGGATGCGAGGGGTGGGGGAGGGGCAAGAGGGATTACGTATAATGGAAAGGGGTAAAGCAGCTGGAACTGATGGAATCATGACAGAAATGTTAAAAGCAGGGGAGATATAGTGTTGTAGTGGTTGGTATTTTTGACGTGCTGTTGGAGTATGAGCAAAGTAACATTTATGAAGGGATTCAGGGAAACCGGCAGGCCGGACTTGAGTCCTGGAGATGGGAAGTACAGTGCCTGCACGCATCTGAAGGAGGGGTGTTAATGTTGCAGTTTAAAAACTGTAGTGTAAAGCACCCTTCTGGCAAGACAGTGATGGAGTGAATGATGGTGAAAGTTTTTCTTTTTTGGGCCACCCTGCCTTGGTGGGAATCGGCCAGTGTGTTAATAATGAAAAAATAAATGTATGAAAGAGGGAAAGGTACCTAGGGATTGGAAGCGTGTGTGTACAGTTCCTTTATATAAAGGAAAGGGGGACAAACGAGATTGTAAAGATTACAGTGGACCCCCGCATACCGTTGGCATCACATAACGATTAATCTGCATACCTCTTGCTTTAATCGCAAAAATTTTGCCTCGCATACCGCTTAAAAACCCGCTCACCGCCGTTCATCCGAGACGCGTCCAATGTGCGCCCTCAGCCAGCCTCACATGTGCCGCCCATGCCATTGTTTACCAGCCAGCCTCCGCGGTAACATCCAAGCATACAATCGGAACATTTCGTATTATTACATTGTTTTCGGTGCTTTATCTGGAAAATAAGTGACCATGGGCCCCAAGAAAGCTTCTAGTGCCAACCCTACAGCAATAAGGGTGAGAATTCCAATAGAGATGAAGAAAGAGATCATTGATAAGTATGAAAGTGGAGTGCGTATCGCCGACCTGGCCAGGTTGTACAAGAAACCCCAATCAACCATCGCTACTATTGTGGGCACCAGAAAGGCAATCAAGGAAGCTGTTCTTGCCAAAGGTTTAACTGTGTTTTCGAAACAAAGATCGCAAGTGATGGAAGATGTTGAGAGACTCTTATTAGTGGATAAATGAAAAACAGCTAGCAGGAGATAGCGTCTCTCAAGCGATCATAAGCGAAAAGGCTAGGAAGTTGCATGAGGATTTAATTAAAAATGCCTGCAACTAGTGCTGATGTGAGTGAATTTAAGGCCAGCAAAGGTTGGTTTGAGAGATTTAAGAAGCGTAGTGGCATACATAGTGTGATAAGGCATGGTGAGGCTGCCAGTTCGGACCACAAAGCAGCTGAAAAATATGTGCAGGAATTCAAGAAGTACATAGACAGTGAAGGATTGAAACCTGAACAAGTGTTTAATTGTGATGAAACAGGCCTGTTTTGGAAGAAAATGCCAAGCAGGACCTACATTACTCAGGAGGAAAAGGCACTCCCAGGACATAAGCCTATGAAAGACAGGCTTACTTTGTTGATGTGTTCCAATGCTACTGGTGATTGCAAAGTGAAGCCTTTATTAGTGTATCACTCTGAAACTCCCAGATCGTTCAGGCAAGAGAATGTCCTCAAGGAGAATTTGTGTGTGCTGTGGAGGGCAAACAGTAAGGCATGGGTCACTAGGGACTTTTTCTATGACTGGTTACACCATGCATTTGCCCCCAATGTGAAAGATTACCTAACTGAAAAGAAATTAGAACTTAAGTGCCTCCTGGTGTTAGACAATGCCCCTGGTCATCCTACAGACGTGGCAGAGCGACTTTATGGGGACATGAAATTCATTAAGGTGAAGTGTTTGCCTCCTAATACCACTCCTCTCCTGCAGCCCATGGACCAGCAGGTTATTGCAAACTTCAAAAAACTGTACACAAAAGCTCTGTTTGAAAGGTGCTTTGTAGTGACCTCAGAAACTCAACTGACTAAGAGAGTTTTGGAGAGAGCACTTTAATATCCTCAATTGTGTAAACCTTATAGGTAAGGCTTGGGAGGGAGTGACTAAGAAGACCTTGAACTCTGCTTGGAAGAAACTGTGGCCAGAATGTGTAGACAAAAGGGATTTTGAAGGGTTTGAGGCTAACCCTGAGAGGATTATGCCAGTTGAGGAATCCATTGTGGCATTGGGAAAGTCCTTGGGGTTGGAGGTTAGTGGGGAGGATGTGGAAGAGTTGGTGGAGGAGGACAATGAAGAACTAACCACTGATGAGCTGATAGATCAACTTCAAGAGCAAGAGGCCAGACCTGAGGAAACTGGTTCAGAGGAGGGGAGAGAGAAATTGAAGAAGTTGCCTACTACAAAGATTAAGGAAATCTGTGCAAAGTGGCTTGAAGTGCAAACCTTCATGGATGAAAATCACCCTCACACAGCTATTGCAAGCCGTGTTGGCAACCTGTACACTGACAATGTTGTGAAACACTTTAGGGAAGTCATAAAGGAACGAGAGGTACAGGCCACTATGGACAGATATGTTGTGCGAAAGAAGTCCAGTGACTCTGAAGCTGGTCCTAGTGGCATTAAAAGAAGAAGGGAAGTAACCCCAGAAAAGGACTCGACACCTCAAGTCTTAATGGAAGGGGATTCCCCTTCTAAACACTAACACACTCTCTCCCCTCCTCCCATCCCATCAATCATCACCAGATCTTCAATAAAAGTAAGTGTCATGTAATTGTGCATGCCTTTTTCAGTTTGTGTGTATTAAAATTAACATTTCATGTTGTAAAAAATTTTTTTTTCATACTTTTGGGTGTCTTGCACGGATTAATTTGATTTCCATTATTTCTTATGGGGAAAATTCATTCGCATACCGATTATTTCGCATACCAATGAGCCCTCTTGCACGGATTAAAATCGGTATGCGGGGGTCCACTGTACTTGATTATTATATTCGTACTAACTGTGCCAGAACAAAGATTGGCTATAAAATCACATTTCTGCAAGTGGCAGGACTCCATGTTCCCATCACATGGTGTAACAGTCTTATTACAAACAGAAAATTACCCTCTTTTTAAAAAAAAAAAAATAAAAATATTCGGAACTGTAGCGGAGATCAACACTAGCAGGTACGGGTTTAACTATACAGTGGACCCCCGGTTAACGATATTTTTTCATTCCAGAAGTATGTTCAGGTGCCAGTACTGACCGAATTTGTTCCCATAAGGAATATTGTGAAGTAGATTAGTCCATTTCAGACCCCCAAACATACACATACAAACGCTCTTACATAAATACACTTACATAATTGGTCGCATTGGGAGGTGATCGTTAAGCGGGGGTCCACTGTACTAACATACCTAGAATTGCTCTATCATTTTTGAAGTGTGGTTCAATTATTTTAATGCAAGACAGTGCTCCTTACCACACTGAAATCTGATGTTCAGTAGTCTCATGACTGAGGTATCTATGACGACTAACCAGGAAATTCTCCACACTATAACCCCTTAAGAAACCTCTGAGAGATCTACTGGGGGAAAGGATATCAACCCACTCCCACAGTTGGAGGATGCAATTTGCAAGTTATGAAGAAATTTACTTCACGAAACCCTGAAGAATGAGTTTTAATCACTTCCCAGATGGTTGTATTAAGTCCTTGAGTGCAAGAGATGGCCTATTTTGCAGTTGTAGTTTTAGAGGGGGCTGGTACAGTTTAACCCTTTCAGTGTTGGTCCCATTATATCGTGGCTTTGAAGCCAATGTCGGTCCCGTAGTATGACACCACTAGCTCAGCTCATACAGATAAGCTGTGAGTGGTAAATGCAGGCCTAGATATGAGAAGATGGGTCTATGTGGTAAGTGTGCACCATATAAAAAAAAAATCCTGCAGCACACAAATCATGAGGAAAATAAAAGCTGTGACCGTGTTTTTGTTTTAAAACGGCAACTTTATGGTGTATTTTTGTATGGTTTTTATGGCTGTATTCTCAGTTTCTTGGTCTCATTTGATAGAATGGAAGATATATTGCAGAAATAGAGATGATTTTGATTAATTTCCGGAATGAAAGTGGCTTGAAATTGATCTCAAATTAGTGGAAATGTTCAATTTTTGCCAATATTGCAGAGTACACAATATGGATCCAACTATCCAGTCTAATACGTATTTAGAAATGCACTGACTTTATACAATTATTTTTTGTGTGAATTAAAATTCAAAATGAAAAGTAAGCATAATATAAGAGGAAATGTTTATTTAGTGCTAGTAATGTCTACATTATTTATTCTGGACCCTATTTTCAAACTGGCAATTATTGAATTTTGTATGAAACTGGCCAAATTACCGATTTCTGATCACTTTAGTAGATAGTTGAAATAGGCAAATGGGTGGTTTCTTGTACTCAATTGATAGAAG